GAGGACATACCTAGCACCTTCCTACCTGTCTCCCTAATCACTGATCTTCTGCTCTGTCGTCACTCTCTTCCTTTTTGTCACCTCCATCCACACTACCATCCGATGTTGTTTGCCTACACTCTCACCTGCCACCACCTTACAGTCTCTAATCTCCCTTAGATTACCTCCTCTTCTGCATAGACTATAATCTATCTGTGTGGACCTGCCTCCACTCTTGTACGTCACCCTGTGTTCCTCTTTCTTTTTACCACAGCCATTTCCATTCTCTTCACGAAATCTACCACTGCCTGTCCTTCTACGTTTCTCTCCCTAACACCAAACCTACCTTTCACTTCCTCATCTCCTCTGTTCTCTTCCCCTACATGACCATTAAGGTCTGCTCCAATCACCACTCTCTCTCCGTCCTGGGGATACTCTCTATCATCCAATCCAGCTCCTTCCAGAACTTCTCCTTTTCTTCTAACTTACAGCCTACCGCTAACAACATTTATCATCACTCCTTCATTCTCTACCTGCACACACAAAATGTCTACTCTTCTTCTCTCCATCACATCAGCTAGTTCTCTACTTTTCCCTGTCATTGTACCTACATTCAGTTAGTAGTTAAAAGTCAGAAAAAAATATATACTTTATACTTAGTATGTCTATACTACAGCCTAAAGTGTGTACTACTGTTATCAATGGTTGCTGTTACCAGTATTTTAAGGCAAAAAAAGTGCAAAGTTTGTGATTTTTGAGGAACTTTTATTTTTGAACACTGTTTGATCAATAGCTGATGTACCAAAATATTCTTTTTCTCCTTTTTTCAGGGGTTGCCACGGCGATTCATTGATTTCCATCTCTCCATCTTCTGCTCTGGCTCCAGCTATCTGCATGTCCTCCCTCACTGCATCCATATATCTCCTCTTTGGCCGTCGTCTTTGTCTCCTACCAGGTAGGTCCATCTCTAACATTCTTCTACCAATGTATCCACTGTCCCTCCTCTGCACATGTCCAAACCGTCTCATTCTGGCTTCTCTAGCCTTTTCTCCAAACCTTCCTGTCTGTGTTGTCCCTCTAATGACCTCATTCCTGATCCTGTCCATTCTTGTCACTCCTAAAGAGAATCTTAGCATCTTTAACTCTGCCCCCTCCAGCTCCGCCTCCTGTCTTCTGCCTATTGCTACTGTCTCTAAACCATACATCATGGCTGGTCTCACCACTGTCCTGTAAACATTTCCCTTCATCTTAGCCGACACTCTTCTGTCACAGATCACTCCTGACACTTTTCTCCAGCTGTTCCATCCTGCCTGTACTCTATTCTTCACCTCTCTTCCACAGTCTCCGCTGCTCTGAACAGTTGATCCTAAGTACCTAAACTCCTGCACCTTCACCACCTCTGCTCCTTGTAGCCTCACTATTTCACTGTTCTGCCTTTCGTTTACACACATGTACTCTGTCTTGCTGCGGCTGACCTTCATTCCTCTTCTTTCTAGTGCAAACCTCCACCTCTCTAGGTTCTCTTCTAGCTGCTGCCTACTCTCACTACAGATCACAATGTCATCTGCAAACATCATAGTCCATGGGGACTCCTGTCTGACCTCATCTGTCAATCTGTCCATCACCACAGCAAACAAGAAGGGGCTCAGGGCCGATCCTTGATGTAGTCCCACCTCCACTTTGAAGTCTTCTGTCCTCCCAACAGCGCACCTCACTACTGTTGTACTATTCTCATACATGTCCTGCACCAAACTAACATACTTCTCTGCCACTCCTGACTTCCTCATACAAAACCACAATTCCTCCCTTGGCACTTTGTCATATGCCTTTTCTAGATCTACAAATACACAATGCAGCTCCTTCTGACCTTCCCTGTACTTCTCCATCAACATCCTCAAGGCAAATATTGCATCTGTGGTACTCTTCCTAGGCATGAAACCATACTGTTGTTCACAAATCTCCACTTCCTGCCTCAACCTAGCTTCAACTACTCTTTCCTAAATCTTCATTGTATGGCTCATCAACTTTATCCCTCTGTAGTTGTTACAACTCTGTGCATCACCCTTCTTATGAATTGGCACCAGAACACTTTTTCTCCACTCATCAGGCATCTTGCCAGTCTCTAAAATTCTGTTAAACAAACCAGTCAGGAAATTTACTGCCACTTCTCCTAAACACTTCCATACTTCCACTGGTATGTCATCAGGACCAACTGACTTTCCACTCTTCATCCTCTTCAGGGCTTTTCTAACTTCATCCTTTCTAACCTGATCTACCTTCTTCCTACTAGTCTCTGGCTCCTCGTTTCTACTTTCCCTTTCATTTTCCTCATTTAACAACTCCTCAAAGTATTCCTTCCATCTTCTCAGCACACTTTCCTCACTTGTGATCACATTCCCCTCTCTGTCCTTAATCAACCTCACCTGCTGCACATCCTTCCCAGCTTGATTTCTCTGTCTCGCCAATCTATACAACTCCTTTTCTCCTTCCTTTGTTTCCAAACTCTCATACAACTCCTCATATGCCTTTTGTTTGGCCTTGGCCACTTCCCTCTTCACCTCCCTTGTCCTCTCTTTGTACTCCAGTCTGTTCTCTTCTGTTCTGTCACTGTCCCATCTCTTCTTCGCTAATCTCTTTCTCTGCACACTCTCCTGGATCTCCTCATTCCACCACCAGGTCTCTTTGTCCTCCTTTCTCTGCCCAGAGGACATACCTAGCACCTTCCTACCTGTCTCCCTCATCACTGCAGCTGTAGTCTCCCAATCATCTGGGAATATCTCAACACTACCCAGAACTGCCCTTACTTCCTTCCTGAAGTCTTCACAACATGTCTCTTTCCTTAGTTTCCACCACTTGATCTTCTGCTCTGTCTTCACTCTCTTCCTTTTTGTCACCTCCATCGTCATTTTACACACTACCATCCGATGTTGTTTGGCTACACTCTCACCTGCCACCACCTTACAGTCTCTAATCTCCCTCAGATTACATCTTCTACATAGAATATAATCTATCTGTGTGGACCTGCCTCCACTCTTGTAAGTCACCCTATGTTCCTCTTTCTTTTGGAAATATGTGTTTACCACAGCCATTTCCATTCTCTTTGCAAAATCTACCACTGCCTGTCCTTCTACGTTTCTCTCCCTAACACCAAACCTGCCTATCACTTCCTCATCTCCTCTGTTCCCTTCCCCTACATGACCATTTAGGTCTGCTCCAATCACCACTCTCTCTCTCCTGGGGATACTCTCTACCATCCAATCTAGCTCCTTCCAGAACTTCTCCTTTTCTTCCAACTCACAGCCCACCTGTGGGGCATAACCACTAACAACATTAATCATCTCTCCTTCTACTTCTACCTTCACACACATCAACCTGTCTGACTCTCTTTTCACCTCTACCACATTTCTTACATATTCTTCCTTTAGGATCACCCCTACTCCATTTCTCTTCCCATCTGAACCATGATAAAACAGTTTGTAGCCTCCTCCAATGTTTCTAGCCTTACTGCCCTTCCACCTGGTCTCCTGCACACACAAAATATCTACTCTTCTTCTCTCCATCACATCAGCTATTTCTCTACTTTTCCCTGTCATTGTACCTACATTCAAAGTTCCAAACTTCAGACTAACACTTCTATTCTTCATCTTTTCTCTTTTTCTCCTAACCAAACGCCCTCCTCTTCTTCTCTGTCTCTGACTCTGTCTCTGACCAACAGTAGTCCAATTTCCATCAGTGCCCTGTTGGTCAACGGCACTGTTGGCGGTCGTTGTTAACCCGGGCCTCGACCGATCCGGTATAGAAATCGTTTTATTGATCTGCATATTTGATTTAGCTAAACGTTTTACGCCGGATGCCCTTCCTGACGCAACCCTCACCATTTATCCGGGCTTGGGACCGGCACTATAAACACGGCTTCGTGTACCCTAGTGGCTGGCTTAATTCAGGCCAAGACCATTGATGAGAAAACGAGAAAAGCTTTCTGGCCTTTAGAAAAAAAAACTGGTGATTTATTTTGTTGGTTATAAATATGATCTGAGCAGGACACGGTGTTCTTACAAATAGATTGGAATTTAGAGAAAAATTCTATTAAAATAAATTCCAGATCGAAATCAATCAAGGCATTTTTGTCTTTTACATTTTGAAATATTATTCACTCCCTCACCATCTTTGCACTCATGCCCGGTCCAACCGTCCATGCAGACCTTGGAGCCGCTGTGGTCACAGTTAAAATGGCCGAAGAAGTCGTCGCGGGACCGGCAGAACTTGTTACAGAACGGTCCGTAGTAGTTGGAGTCACAACGGAAGCGGAGACGATATTCCAGGCTGAGAATCCGCCCGTGGTGACGATACGTCTGCCACTGTTCACTGGGGTTCAACATGGAGGAGAGCAGAACTCGCTCAATCAACTGGCCTGAGAGGAGAGAGAGGGGAAGAATTAGATAGAGAAAAGTGATTAGAAGACAAAGAAGAAGAAGAAGAGGAAGAGGAAGAGGAAGAGGAAGAGGAAGAGGAAGAGGAAGAGGAAGAGGAAGAGGAAGAGGAAGAGGAAGAGGAAGAGGAAGAGGAAGAGGAAGAGGAAGAGGAAGAGGAAGAGGAAGAGGAAGAGGAAGAGGAAGAGGAAGAGGAATCTCCTTTATCGTCGTTGTACATTTGAAATGTGTCCTCTGCATTCAAACCATCAACTCATTCACTCAGCAATTTGGTACAACACACCACAACCAGTCATAGTGTATTAATACAGGTTTCAGTATCAAATATTGTTCACTGCTCTGTGAAATATATTTTTGTCAAGTTAAGAAACTCAGCAGCACGGAAGCAGGTAATTTAACTTTTTTAAGCTCCAGTGGGCCACGCAAAATGACTTGGCGGGCCGCATTTGGACCGCGGGCCCTGAGTTGGACACATATGATCTAAACCTTCTCTTTCATTTTTGTCACCATCCTTACGCTGATGACAGCACGTCATGAGGCCTTTACAGCCTCTCTAATGAAAACAAGAGCCCGCGGCCACAAACAGCACTAATGTGAACGACTGTTAACCCAAAATAATGGAGTGAAAACGATTAAAACCCATCGGAGAGTTCAGTGTTACTGCCGGTTCCCACAGCACCTGAGGGAACGTCACTTCCTTTCGTGCTATTCGTGTGTCACTGTTCCCCTTCATTCTCTACCTGCACACACAAAATGTCTACTCTTCTTCTCTCCATCACATCAGCTAGTTCTCTACTTTTCCCTGTCATTGTACCTACATTCAGAGTTCCAAACTTCAGACCAACACTTCTATTCTTCCTCTTTTCTCCTAACCAAACACCCTCCTCTTCTTCTCTGTCTCTGACCAACAGTAGCCCAATTTCCATCAGTGCCCTGTAGGTCAACGGCCCAACTCGGGCCTTGACCGAGGAGGACAAGGCTAAGGAACAGTCTGACATCAGAGGAGCTTTATAGACCTGCGGCTACCCCAACTGGGCCTTCTCCAAAGCCACCAAAACCAACCAGAAGAACAGAGAGGAGAACGGTAACAAATAGAACAACATTGTCATTCCTTATGTAGCCGGGACCTCCAAAATAACTTTTAACCATCACCAAATTACTGTCCATTTCAGACCCATCAACACCCTTCGACAAAGACCGATTAATCTAAAGGACAACATACCACGTTGACAAACAGCACAGTGCAGTGAGGACTACCCTGACCTCTACATTGGGGAAACCAAACAACCACTGTACAAGTGTGTGCAACAACACAGAAGAGGCAGCTCCTCCGGGCAGGATCTTCCCTTGGTCACCGTCTCTGCAAAGGAGGAGGATCATTAATACGATTCATTAAATTTCATCAACATCATTTTTAAAGACATTAACCCCCAAAGAGCCATGCTCTAGTTTGACTAAAATGTGCAAAGATGAATGTCAGCATTTTTTTTTCCTTTCTTTTTTTTTTTTTTTTTGTCTGATAAGACGTCTTCACTATCAGGCTTTTCTTTAAAATTAAACATAGTAATAAAATTCTGCACTGCTGTGCAAAGGGAATGTAACTCACTATCACTTCTTGGAAACTTAAAACGCAGTACAGGATGTTAAAATGCTGTAATATTTTAGTATCGATTGCAGGAAGCCCTATGGGGGAGAAATTGCTTAATGTAACATTAATCTGTGCTTCAAAAATCTAGGTCTGTAAGTAATGAAGTTAAAAAAAAACTAGCTTGAGCTTTATTTATTAAACATCGCTATGCATTCCTCCCTCAAAGTATTTGTATGTGCTGTTATTTAAATAGGATAATCCTAAACCCTCAGTCGTTCCAAATAGGTTTGGGTCAGTGCCACATCAATATGCTTTACTGTGTCTGCAGGCAAACTGTTGGGGGGAGAATGCTAGCTGCTATTTCGGAATTTAAAGCTTCTCGTCCTATGGGACTGTTTTGCATCACTGACAGGATTAGAACAGAGAAACCCATTGCAATGCAAAAAGAATGAAAAGTCACATTTGTTGACTTTTGCTGTATTCGGCTTATCTGTTAGTAACAATGTCTCAGACATTGACGATACAAGGCATTGCATAAAATGAACACGAATAAATGTGTTCCTTGGCACTGACTAAATTCTGAAATCTACAAACGTCAAACCCAGTAACCAAGGTAAACTTAAAGTTTAAATTTTTAAAATTTCCAAAAACTATAACAGTGGTCCCTCTCCTATCACGGTAGTTGCATTCCCAGACTTACTGAGACAATGGGAAAAAAATCACAAAGTAAAGGTGAGATAGTATATATATTTACCCTTTACGAACCTCCCCCACACTGTTATCAACCCACCCTAGACTGTATTACCCTTTCCTACACAATTATATGCACAGTAGAGTTGTATAATGGAAATATAAGACATACCATCCATCCATCTTCATCCGCTTATCCGTTACCAGGTCGAGGGGGCAGCAGTCTCCACGTCCGCCACCCAAATCACACTGCGCCGTACCAGTCCCACTGAATCTTCCTGCTGGTGGTGAGTCCTCTGGAAGGATATAAGAAATACATATTACATAAATAAATGAAATACATGACCATGAAAAAAAAAGTAAAATACATTCTTAACATATATTAAAATTCAATGTACATGCACATTGTGGGGGCGCGGCGGAGGTTAGTGCTTAGCTGCAGGAGGGAGAGCACGGGAGTGGTGACGCAAGTGCAGCCCCGGACGGAGGTAAGTGCATTTGAAGTAATCGAACCTTTCCTTATATTAGTAAGAGCCGGGACCAAGGAGAGAGGAGGGTGAACAGCAGAGTGCAAACTGGCCAAGATGGACAGACTGTGTATAAAAGCTAGGCACAGCGCAAAAGCGCACAATGTTGTACAGGAAAATAAAGGCTGTTAACTGTCATCTGTGTCAGTGTCGTCTTTTGGGCTTAGTAACAGAAGCCTGAGAAGATGATCAGAAGGTTTAGGTGTTAAATTAGGGTCAATTCTACCAAACACAAGAGCACAAACTTTAGAGCAACGTACTATTTAAAGGCACAAAGCAAAGTGAATGTGTGTGGGACAGACAAGGGTAGATGCTGAGAGATGATTCATGAGCCAATCAGCTTAAAGAACAGCAGAGCATGCTCAATGCTGTGTTTGATCTCCTCTAGGTAAACAATGCTACCATCAAAGTCTTAGTTTATTTTTTGCTATATATTAACTGTTTACATTTTTTGTTAGAAAATGTTTATCATGAAAATTATAAAAATATAGGAAATTAAAAAATGTATTACTGTAAAATACTGCAATATAGCGAAAATCTTGCGACACTGGAATGAAAACAATATGCAATGTCAAAATATGACCTATATCAAGCAAGACATTTCGGGGACTTTTTATTTT